GCATATAAGCTCATAAGACGCTAGGGATCTCTAAGACTAAAGCCAAACCCATAGCAGGTCCTATCTAGCCAGCCCCACCTTTCCACGTTCTTTAGCGTGGTAAAGTAGCCCAACCAAGAGTCACCACACTAGGCTACCCTAGAATCAAAACGAAGAGATTAAGGCGAGGCTCGCGAGAGTTAGGATAAGAGGGTAGAGAAGATAGAAGATATAGCTATATATATAGATTTATCATCTAACGAAGAGTTTAATCTAGATCAGGAGATAGTAATAGTAATATTAGCCCTAGATTAGGGGTCTTAGTTAAAGGGAATTTCTACTATTTTTACTATTCCACGCCATAAAGCCTACTTAAATATTCTATAAAAATATTATTAAATTAGGCCTTAACGAAATAAAGGAATTAATTAATCCTCTATTATATAAGAAGGGGAAATCAAGAAGAGGAAGATAAATAATATAGTGGAAATCTTAAGATTCTATACAGTCGGCACTTCTAAACTACTACCTCTTCTACTCTAGTAAGCCTTACTAGAAAATTCGATAAAAATTCGATTAAATTAAACTAGGTAGGATTAAATTAAATAAGGTTAAACTGAATTAAATCGAATCGAATCAAATATAACTAACTCAAATCGAATTAAATTAAATTAAATCAAATCAAATCAAATCAGATCAAATCAAATCAAATCAAATCAAATCAAATCGAATTAAATCAAATCGAATCAAATCAAATCAAATCAAATCAAATCGAATCAAATCAAATCAAATCGAATTAAATCAAATCAAATAAAATCGAATCAAATCAAATCGAATCAAATCAAATCGAATTAAATCAAATTAAATTAAACTAAATTAAATAAGGTGGTTTAGATCTAGATAATTAGTACTTTAAGATTAAGACTTTTCTTATCTTATCGCTACTCATTTTTCCACAGTCGTAAACTAAAAAAATGATCTTAAGAACCCGCTATTTTTAAACCATTACCACACCCTATTAAATAGATTTTAGCCTCTAAGATCTAGGAATAAGAAAGATTAATAGTTAACTTAGACTTCTATAAAGTTTAATATAAATCAGTTAGCTTTTTAAATATTTAGTCAGTTCCCGAAGTTAGCCTTAGTCAGCTTTTTTCTTGATATTCCTCCTATATATTAAATCCGCGCTAGGCTCTCAGTCAGCCTAACTAAGAGGACCCCCCATAGGATAGGGTGGCTGGGTATAATATAGGGTGGTAATTTTTAAAGTGGTTGATTTTCTATACTAATAGGGGAGATATATATATATAGAACATATAGCTTTACTACCTTACTAACTATATATCTAGGTCTTCGCCCTAACTACCCTTTATATATATAATTTAAATAAAGAATAAGCTATATTATAAGGTATTAACCTTATATATAAGCTTAAAAGCTCTATTTTAACTAGTCTAGGTAGGAATTCTATAGAAATATAGGTTAATCAAACTAGTGTTCCTGATTATATAGCGCGCGGGTAAGACCACTATAGTAGTAACTAATTAGCGCTATAGAACCAGACCTATATATAATATCTAACTAATCGGGTTCTAGAAGGTAATATCTTTAAAAATCCTTTTATCCTAGCTCTCTCTTAGCTCTATATGCCTAGCATATTAGAATTAGGGTTTCTAAACCCTCTCTAGAGCGATCTAATTACTCCTTCTAAGTTAATATTAATATTTTACCCTACCTAGAGCACCCTACCTACCCTAAGCGCCCTATTAACCCTACCTAATGAAATTCTATAGTTTTCTATACCTAAAGTAGGAAATCACGCTATATAGTCTAAATTAAACTATAATAGCTTCCTAAAATAGTGGAAAACAACCCTAAATAGGTTAAAGGACACTAAACTAGCTCTTAATTGGTTAAAAATGGGAAATTCGAAGATTTAGTCCTATATTAAGTAAGTTATAGAAGTTTAGACTAGACTACCAAAAGTGCGCTATATAGTATATAATATACTACTAAGCCACCCTAATTAGAGTAATAGTGGAAGCTCTATTAGAGGAACCTCTACTATTCTTCGCTATATTAAGAAAGTCTATAAGTCTAGGGTTATTAACCCTAGCCAGGCTTCAATTAAGAGCAGCTTTGCCTTTACTATAGTAAGCCCGCTGCCCTACTACCCTACTACCCTACTACCTTATATTATATATATTATATATATTATATATATTATATATATTATATATATCATATATATTATATATATTATATATACTAACCCTACCTAGGTAGTTCAATTAAAGTAGTATATAACCTATCAGGCATGGTTTAAGCTGCTTATAAACTTCTTTATCACCCACTACCTACCTTTTAATATCTTAAATAGTTAGCAATTTAAGGCCTTTATAGAAGGAATGGTCTAGCTTACTTTAGTCCTATCTTTACCTTCCCCTCAAACCTTATCTTATCGCCTACAAGATGAAAGCTTAAATCAATAAATAACCGCTTTAAGCACGCTTCTAGAAGGTTCTAAGCTCTTAATTACCCTAGATTACTAGATATCTCTATACTCCCAATCTTATCTAGCTATTATAGGCTATTTTCTAGACCTAGACTAGCACTATAGAGAGGTCCTGCTAGGGTTTGAACCCCTATATAGCCCTTATTTAGGTAAGTCTAACCCTAGGCACCCTATATCATATAGCTCTATATTATATAGCTCTATATCATATAGCTCTATATTATATAGCTCTATATTATATAGCTCTAGACTAATATATGATATATCTATATCTAGGCGCTAATCTTATATATATGCTTACCCTAATACTAGAAAAGCATAATATATCAGACTGGATCATGGCTATCACCACGGACAACGCTTTAAACAATAAGACTTTAATCTTATCTCTTTAAGAACTTCTTTAAGATGCTTATCTAGAGACCTCGATTCCTTGAGTCCCTTATATAGTATATATAATCTAGCTATCCTTAAAGTAGCTATATAGGATAATTAGGGTTAACCCTAAAAATGATAATATCGAGCTAGTCTGGTCTAAAGATCTCTAAAAGTATAAGGAAATCAGCTAGATAACTAGTATTACTCATACACTATAGAAGGTATGGAATCTAGCGGTCTATATTAATATAAGCCTATAAAGACGGGATGATTTCTAGATAGAGTAGGCAAAAGATAGGATAAAAGACCCACTTTACCCTATCTAGGATATTTAGACTTAATAGAACTCGACCTTTCTAATACTAGAAAGAGCTATTTAGATCAGACTAGCTCTAGATAGCTACTATAAGCTATTCTAGGGTAAAATGCGTATAAGATCAGATAAATAGCGTTAAATTATCTATCTTTTATATATTATAAAGCCTTTCTTTATCTTTACTACTATATTATGTAAGATAAAGGATATCACTATATATAGTATATTTAATATCTATAATGCTTTATTCTAGTATATTAAGTCTTCTATCGCTAAGCTTTAGTAAAAGAAGGTATGTTTAACCTATATAAGCTTATATATAGGTTATATAACCCTATACTAACTATATAACTCTAGCTTTTATAGAAATAAGATATGCTTTTAGCTCTATAAGTAGCTAAATCTAAGCTTCAAGAGTATTACTCTTAGACCATAGACCCGACCCTAGGTAGTATATATATATATAGAACGATCCTTGTCCTATAATATAAGCTTTAATTCTTTTAATCTAAAGAGTGGGAAGATAAGATGATTGATTATACTAAGGTCTATAGATTAAGCTTATAGGATCTGATTAGATCTTATTAATAAGATAACCCAATCTTGAGTCCCTAAGCCCAGAGATATATAGCTATAGAGCTAGCGGTCTAGTCTATAATGCCTCCAAAAGCTAGTATATTACCTACGTAAGTAGATAAGCTAGGAGATTACCTTTAAGCTAGTACGTTAAGTCTATATCTATATATCTATATATCTATATAGACTCTATATCTATAGCCTAACCTAACCGCCCTTTACTAACCTAACTAGGGCTAATTAATAAGGAACCCTATATCTTCTAGTGGAATAATCAGACTAAATACCCCACCCTAGCTTAGATAGCTTAAGATCTCTTCTCTATTCTAGTAACTAGTGCTAGTATAGAGCGCCTGTTTAATATAGTATATAATATATACCACTACTAGCGTGGTAGACTAAGCACTTCTACTATAAAAGACCTTATAGTATATAATCGCACTATAAAGTTTGATATAGATATAGAAGAGCTAACTTAGCTAGTTAAGAATCTTAAGATCAAAGAGGAGGTAGGATTAAAGGACTTAGAGACTTAAGTAATACTTAAGGATATTAGTAATATCAAAGACCTAGACCTTAATAGCTTAGGTGAGGAAGAGTAGCTAGTCCTAATTTAATAGTCTATAAAGAGAATAAGGGAGGTTTTATCTAAAGATTCTTTAGATAAAAGGTTAGATAATAGAGAATTGCCTTTAATTAGGGTTTCTAGAAGAGCTAGAGCTACTAGGTAGAGATAGGATAAAGTAGAATAGGCGTATCACTAATTAATAAGATTAATTATACGTGCTTTTCTTAATTATATAGGTGCTAGGGTATTAGGGTGGCTTTTAGGTCTTACTTTTATATATAAAAATCACAAAAAAAATTAAAAAAATAAGGTAGAACCATAGGGTTTATACCTTTAAAAGCTAAATTTATATTATCTATGTGTAATATATAAGGTATTTAAAGTGGTATTTTACCCCTCTAAAACCAAACTTTCTACATATTTTATGAAAAATACACATAATTTTAGACCCACTTTCATAGACACCATATAGTGCACCATATGGGCCCGGGCCCATTTCAAAGGCAAATGGTGCACCATTTTTAGGCCCACACCACACCACACCATAGACACCACACCATATACCGAAGCCTAATAAGGAGAATATCCTTTAAGCGATTGACGATAACCCATGCGTTAAATATGATGAACTTCTTGCAACAGTTGACTATAAAGTCTGTCGAGATACGATGTGGAGACTTCTTCGCGAAGAGAATAAACGGAAATGGCTTCGTCTTCGACGCCCAGCGCTTACTGAAGATCAAGCTCGAAAGCGATTTGAATGGGCTCGACGAGTCCAAGATTATGACTCCGAAAAATGGACAAAGATCTTCTGGTCTGACGAATCAACTGTCGAAAAAGGTAAAGGTGCTCGCCGAGAGTATACCTTTAACCGACCCTCGACTCAAATTCCACTCCGAGATATCGACGCAGTTGATTGTCATAAGGCTAAGTCCCAGATGTTTTGGGCCGCCTTTTCAGGAAGTGGTCGAAGAACAGGCCTTATTCCCCTCTTTGGAGACCCAGATTCGCCTCATAGAGGGGTTAATCGATGGGTAATCCTCGAGCTTTACCAACGAGTTCTTCCAACTTTATTAGATGGAGTTCATGGCGCTATTTTCCAACAAGATAACGCTCCTGTGCATACCGCACACGTCGTACGTGACTGGTTAGCGGATCAAGACTTCGAAATCATGGCCTGGCCTCCTTATTCACCTGATTTAAACCCTATTGAGAACCTTTGGTCGCTCTTAAAGGCAAAAATCTATGAATTACACCCTGAAATTAGAGGTATGCCAGACAACGACGAAACCCTTGAATTCGTGGTTTCTATAGCACAAGAAGCTTGGTCAGAGATGGATATAGATATGCTAGAAAACCTTGCTATAACCATGCCTCACCGGGTGCAGCAAGTGCTTCAAAACGAAGGCTGGTATACTAGTTATTAGATAGTAATTCTAGGGGTTTTTGACTAGCAGAAAATGCGGCAGAATATAAAGCGGTAAAATGGGTTGTCTCAGACTTGTCAGACGCCACTATATTATCTATTATTAAGCTAAATACCTAGTCTTTAATTTTATGCTTAAGAAGGGTTTCTATTAGGGTATTACTTAGGTTTATACTAGAATATATCTTATAAATTAGTTTAAAATCTAAGAGTACTTCTTGATATACCTAATTATAATTAATAAAGTAGCTAGTGATAGCCATAAATACCTATGAATATAGAGATATCTAGTAATTAAGGGTAATAGAGATCTTTAAGCTTACTAGAAGTAGCTTAAGTATAGATTTTTGCTGACTACTAATTAAAGACTATAGCTAGCGATGATTTATATCTATAGAGGGGATAAATAGAGTAGATAGAGAAGCGCGAGCTATTTAAATTAGGCTTAGGAATTTAGGGTGCTTAACTAGATAAAATAGGAGTTAATTAAGAGATAAAAATAATAAAATCTCTTCTTCCTAGGCTTCTTATAAGAAAGAAGCTATAGTCGTAGTATTATACTAGATAGACTTAGTAAGTAGAAGTATAAGTCTTAAGGTTCTAGAGAATATATAGCTTTCTAAAGGAACTTGGTTATCTCTACTATAGGTATACGCTTAGCCTTTTAATATACTATACTTTTAATATACTTTAATATAAAGGATATACTATAGTATTATACCTTCTAATTAGTTAAGCGAGTATAGAGAGTATATAGATACTTAAGGATCTAGCTATAATTTTTATATATAACCTTTAGTGCGCTATCTATACTATATATAACTTATTTAAATTTACTCTAGATATTAGACTAGTGACTTAAATCCTAATAGATCTTACTCTTTCTTCTATAACTAGTCTATAGCTACTAGTCTACCTATTTAGTATAGGTTATTTTATTATAAAGAATATACGCCTTTCTCTAATTAGATCTAATATATATAAGGGATATAGGGGGTGTTAAGGGAATAACTAGATAAAGGAATTTAGGGTTAATAGACTTAAGATTAAATATCTACTAGCTAGTAGGTATATCTAGAGTGCCTAGGTAGTTTAAAGAGATAAGATAACTAAGATTATCTATATCCCTATTATAGATAGATAATATAAAGTTAGATTACTAACTCTAGGATATAATAATAGAATAAATTAATAATTAGTTAAGTAGATAGTAAGAGATAGGAGATAAAGGTAATACTTATAAAGGATAGAAGATATAGTTACTTAGTAGCTAGTAGAGAGCTAAATAAATAAGTTAACTTAGTTAAAAGTAAATACTTTATTATATCTAATTAGTAGATAGAGTAGGGAGAAGTAGGGAGAACCTAATAGAACCTAATAGGACCTAGCTAGACCTAGTAGAACCTAATAATTACCTAGTAGAACCTAGTAGAACCTAGCAATAACCTAGCAAAACCTAGTAGAACCTAGAAATTACCTAATTCCTACCCTAATTCTATAGAAATAATCTTAAAAAAATTTTAATCTATTTTGATTTTAATCAGGGGGTGGCCCCCTAATAAACTTATACCTAAATTTAAAGAATATATTAAATACTTTCCCTTATAATTAGATTTTAGTAGACCTAAATAATATATTATATCTATATACCTATACTATTATTATATAAGTAGACTAAGATTAAGCTAGTAAAGTACGCCCTAAAGGATAGGTACCTAGGTAGTATATAATTTTTTTAGAAAGTTATACTTAGTATAGGCTTAAAATATATATATCTATATAACTTTAAGTCCACTAAATTTCTAAATTTTCTAAAAGTTTTATAGGGGGGGGCTATATCTAGGCCCCCCCCTTTTAAACTTTTAAATTAAAATTTAACTTATTATAATCTATAGGTTTCTATTAATAATATAAAGTTATCTCTTTAAATTTCTATAAATTTATATAAAGAAGGCATAATATTATATTATATAAACCAGAATAGGTATAAAAAACAGTAATTAAATAGACTAAATCAATAAGATTATATATCCTAATTAAGAATAGTTAATATATTTTATATAAAGTTAGGTTTTCCTAGGGCCCTAATAGGTACCTAATCTAGGTCCTAGGTTAGGTCTAGGTTACCTTACCTTACCCTAGACCTAGTCTAGGTCTAGGGCTAGGTCTAATATCTAGACCTAGACCTAGGTCCTATAGAAGTCTAATATTAAGATATATAAGCTTATAAGACGCTAAGGATCTCTAAGACTAGAGCTAAATCTATAATAGGTCCTATCTAGCTAGCCCTACCTTTCTATATTCTTTAGCGTAGTAAAGTAGCCTAACTAAGAGTTACTATACTAGACTACCCTAGAATTAAAATAAAGGGATTAAGATAAGGCTCGCGAGAGTTAAGATAGAAGAGGAGAGAAGATAAAAGATATAGTTATATATATAGATTTATTATCTAATAAAGAGTTTAATCTAGATTAAGAGATAGTAATAGTAATATTAGCCCTAGATTAGGGGTCTTAATTAAAGGGAATTTCTACTATTTTTACTATTCTACGCTATAAAGCCTACTTAAATATTCTATAAAAATATTATTAAATTAGGCCTTAATAAAATAAAGGAATTAATTAATCCTCTATTATATAAGAAGGGGAAATTAAGAAAAGGAAGATAAATAATATAGTAGAAATCTTAAGATTCTATATAGTTAGTACTTCTAAACTACTATCTCTTCTACTCTAGTAAGCCTTACTAAAAAATTTAATAAAAATTAGATTAAATTAAACTAGATAAGATTAAATTAAATAAGATTAAACTAAATAAAATTAAATTAAATTAAATATAACTAACTTAAATTAAATATAACTAACTTAAATTAAATTAAATTAAATTAAATTAAAATAAATCGAATTAAATTAAATTAAATTAAATTAAATTAAATTAAATTAAATTAAATTAAATTAAATTAAATTAAATTAAATTAAATTAAATTAAATTAAATTAAACTAAATTAAATAAGGTGGTTTAGATCTAGATAATTAGTACTTTAAGATTAAGACTTTTCTTATCTTATTACTATTCGTTTTTCTATAGTTATAAACTAAAAAAATAATCTTAAGAACCTACTATTTTTAAACTATTACTATACCCTATTAAATAGATTTTAGCCTCTAAGATCTAGGAATAAGAAAGATTAATAGTTAACTTAGACTTCTATAAAGTTTAATATAAATTAGTTAGCTTTTTAAATATTTAGTTAGTTCCTAAAGTTAGTCTTAGTTAGCTTTTTTCTTAATATTCCTCCTATATATTAAATCTATACTAGGCTCTTAGTTAGCCTAACTAAGAGGACCCCTATAGGATAGAGGCTAGCCTACTATAGGGCTAACTATATAGCTATAGAGGCCTATAATCCCTATAGATTATCTATATTTACTTTAATTAGGCGAGATCTATTAATAAGATTCTATAGTACTTATCTATTAGGTTTTATAAGAGTATATATATCTAATAGATATACTTATAGTATCTAATAGGGGCTAAACTATTTACTCTTAAATTTCTTTCTTAACTTATTCCTTATAAGTACCTAGCTTCTCTTCTAGAAGCTTATTTTTATAACTAGCGAATCCTAAATATAATTTATTTAGATTACTTAGTTTAGTAGTAATTTATTCGCCTTTATTCTTATATTATTAAGATTCTAAAGGATTATTTCTTTATCTATAACTAGTATATTTAGGGAGTCTATATTACTAGGGATCCTAGGGTATATACTATAGACTAGGTAGAAGGGGCTATATCCTATAACTAAGTATATATAGATATATATAGAGAATAGCGCTTATAGTAGAAAGAGATCCTATACTTATATTAGTTTATTTATAAGATACTTTATAAGTATTTAGCTAATAAGACTATTTAGATTCTCTACTTTCCTATTTATTTATAGATAGTAGGGTATTATTATATAGTAATAGGCTCCTAGTAGTTAGATATAATAATATATAGCTCTAGAAAGTAGATTCAGGCTATTATTAGATAGGAGTTCTTTTAGCGCGCTATAAGGTATAAAGATATTATTATAAAAGAACTTTACTAGGGTCTTTTTAGTTATATCTAGAACTATCTATATAATTAGCTATTTAGTTATATAATTAATTACTATTATTATCTAGTAGTTCCTATTTAGCGTAAGTAGAAGTTACCTAATAAGATTAATTCCCTACTATTTAAATAGTTAGATATCTACTATTATAAGATATTATACTATTTTATACTCTAGGCTCTCCTTAGATCCCTAAGAGACTTAGTAGTTTAAGTATAATTAGACCTCTTCTTCTAAATCTATATATATAGAGGGCTATTAAGCTTATGGTTTTATTACTCTATCTAGTCCTAGGGATCCTAGATAGCTAAATTCCTTATATAAGCGCGTAATTAGATCTATCTAGAAGGGGTCTACTATATATAGAGACTTTATACTATCTTTATAGATAAATATAAGATATTTATTTACTTTTAATATCTCCTCTTTTAATAAAAGTCTATCTATATAGGACTCTACTATCTTATATATATAATAATTATTAAGTAGGTCTCCTATCTTTAAGAATAGCTTTATAGCTTCTAACTAAATATCTTTAGATATATAATAAACTATATAGGCTATTATTAATATCGCTAATTATATTAGGTAACTTATAGCTATATTTACTAGGCCTATCTTAATAAAGTCTAGCTAGTAGCTTATTATATTAGGTATAATCGCTTCTAAACCCTTCCTATACTTAACTATAAGATTATATTCTTAGAACTCCTTAATCTAATAGACTAAATACTTATTATATATTATTATTATCTAGAGATATTATAGGCTTATATAATCTATAATAACTATTATCTTATAACTATTATTAATAAAATAGTCCTATAGATAGAGTATATATTTAATTATAAGAAGCTCTTTCTTCTATATTAGATAGTTTAATTCTATACCCTAGAGTT